TTAGATCCCACTTAGCTTCTGGTCGATAGTGGATGCAGGTCAGGATGTGGTGAGAAAGACAGGACAAGCAGTGGCCTCCCGGGGCTGGAGAGCGATGCTGATGAGCGTGCTCATGGAAACGCAGGGTCTGTGGTCCCAGCAGCTATTGCCAGACCCAGCCTGTCCTGGTACAGCCCCATCCTCGTCCCTGCTCTGCTCCATGCGCTGGCAGCGGGATTAGTACAGTGAGAGGGTTCAGCAAGATTAGCAAAAAAAGGAAAAGAAAAGAAAAACAAACAAGAAAACCCTGCTCTGTCAAAACCCCACCAGAGCCACGTCTCCAGACAGCTGACCCCAGTGAGAGCTGCTGCCGCAGTAAGGCAGAGGCAGGAACGTGTGTACAGGAAGGACAGGACCCACAGCCCACCTCCTGTGGATCTAAGTCATTGTGGAGCTGCATCCTGCCATCACTGGGGTCAGGAAACGGGAGAGGGAAGGCAGCGGGGAAGAGCAAACACACAACAGCCTGGCCAATGTGCTTCTCCAGTCTTCTCAGCAGGCACACCTAATCCCCAGCCTGGGTTGGAAACAGCCTCTCAGCCACAGCCAGGAGTGGATTTACAAACTTCTATTACCAGAGGCAGCATTTTCTCCATTCATGCATTCAAACCCGCAGCAGGGGCAAAGCCCACAGCCCTGCCTCCTGCTATTCCCGATCCCCGAGGTTCTCATTCCCCAGGGGAAAGATGTGAAACACAGCTCCAGGCCAGGCTCCGTGCCACAGGCTCTTCATACGAGCGCAGCATTTGGATGCACAGCTGACATGCAGCACTCGTACTGCAGAGGCACATTTTACATCAGCAAAGGTGACACATGTCACTTGTATTACACACACACAACTTACCTGACCCTCACATAGCAGCACATTCCTAGTGCTACTGAGTTGGTCTCCTCCTGTTCTATTTTTGCCTAGCAGATTATTTCTATTTAATCCATTAATTCCTCTCTTTTATGCTGATACGGCATATCAGAGCGTCGGGAAGGGGGCAAGAAGACTGAATCAGCTCTGCTCAGCCTTGCTGACTCCAGCTGTGTGCATCAGTCACGGCCATGCAAGGTCACATCGAGCTCTCCTGCATTCCCATGCACGTTTCTGTGCCACGTAATGATGTGCCACCACAATACTGTTCTGAATTCTGCCATAGGCTCTATGGAATGAAAAGCCACAGAGAAAGGGAAAAACCAAGAAGCAGAGACCAGAGAGAAATGAGTTTTCAAGTCTTACTTGAGTCTCAAAGTACCAGTGAGCTCCCAAGATTGGGAAAGGAGGATTGCTGGGGAGGGCCAGGCACCTGCAGGTGGGGGGCTTAAGGTCTGTGAAGAGCTTATGAAAATAGAGACAGCTCTTGATGGGGTCCTGAACTAACAGGGAACCACAGGGGTATGGAAAAAGGAGAGGGGAATGGTGGCAGAGGAAGGGAAAGGAGTTCTGTGATTTTCCATTCAATAAGCACAAATGGGCTGCAGGATTTGTACCCACAGAGCAGGGCAAGTCCTCCTGGTTTGCAAGGCAGTGCATGTAAATTCATCTGGCTCTGGTGGCTCACTGACACCGCTCACCCCCATGGTTCAGCACTGCTTCCTCCCTGCCCCGAGGAAGATTAGGATAAATCACCCTGCAGGCCCATGGCCATCTGGCCGCGCAGCACGATGCAAACCCCAAAAGCTCTGTAAAATCAGATAGAGGCCAAAAAGCAGAGCTTACTACAGCACTGTGAGTCTCCTTCAGACTAACCGGAGCACAGGCAGGAAGCAGAGGTACACGGGCTTTGGGGGTCAGGAATTGCATCCGACTCCACTCAATCACTGCATGCATTTCGAGTCCTCATAGGAAGCGCCTGTATCAAGGGCTGCATGGCAAAAAGCCAGCCTCTGAATCAACTCTAAGTGTAGCTGGTGAAGCGAGCAGTTCACTACAGTCACAGCTCTAATGAGGGCTAAAGCAGAGTCAGACGTCTGAACACAGCAGCACCGGGGGAGTACAGACAAGGAGCACAGTTCTCTTGCTTAAGACAAACCACCAAAACAGAAGAGGTACTAAAAGGTAAGACACTTTGCCAAAGCCTCCCCAGCTCACTAAAGCCCAGCTCTGCGCCCATCTAGTGAAGACACGCAGGGAGACACTTGGCATTTGGGTCTCCATCAAAGCCTCGCTACCCTTTGCCAAACCCTGAGCTGCTCCGAGAGGCACGACCGGCGTGTGGGCTGCGGTACCACCAGCACTACAGACAAACCCCATCCACAGCGCCGGGCTGGGAACCCACACGGGAGACAACCATGGGAGCTGCCACCAGCCTGGGGACAAACTGGCTTCCTCCTCAAAGCCACCAGCACATCCCCAGCACGGGCATCCCGCTGGGACTGCACGGGGCTGGCAGCACAATGCACCCGCCGCAGCCACGCTCCGTAACCAAGGCGCAGCAGCGGTCGGCAGCACCACTCAGCCCGTTCTGGTAGTGGCACATGGGCAGTTATATGCCAGCAGGAGCCACCATGCTACTTGCAGACAACCCGCTCCTGCCCACACCTCTGCTGGCACAGGCCCTCGATGAGGCTGCGGACAACTAACCACGGGCAGGAGCTGGGGTTCAGGGTCAGAAAGAGCCTGGCAGTGAAGAGCCTGGGTGAAGCCCTCACCTAAGAAAGCCCTTAAACAGGTATTAGGAGCCCCAACCTGGGATCTGTTGCAAGCTTGGCAGCTGAAGACCAGGATTAGACCATAGAAATAACCCTGGGGAAGTCATGGACACACTTGACTCGAGCTCTTACCATCTCTAAAGAGCTGCTGTTACTTTACAGGATGACTCCAGTGTAAGTCACAGCCCCAGGAGGGTTTCTGGCTGACAGCACGTAAGATGGGAAGGTCACGCTTCGACAAGTGCTTCTTTCAGAAGTGGTAATTACTTCACCGAGCCTTCCTCCCACCCCTGATGTTTTTCCCTGCTTCTGCATCACCCCTCAACAAAGTTTAGAAGATGGTTATTTTAACACGTTCCTTGAGCCAAATCACCACGTACTGTCCTGGCAGAGGCAGAGGTTATGCGCAGGGAACACGCAGAGCAGTGACAGTTCATGGCCTGGGTAGGACAGAGTTGAGCAAGTTCTCTGAGCCCACAAAAATCTCACTTTGCCCCTCTGTAAAATGGAGAAAAGATGGAGCACAAAGCCAGGAGGAACACATACAGAACAAGATGAATGTGCAGCCAATGACATGGAGAGACAACAGGGAAGGGAGAAGCCACATCAGAGAGAGCAGAGAGGACAAAGAGACTGTTTTGTGCAAGGGCTCAAAATGGGCGTGAGGAACATTATCTGCAAATCATACCTATTATTGTGAGAAAAATGCTTCTACTCAAGATGAAAATGCCCTGGCTGAGGCAGCATGAAAATGAACTCTTTACTAACCATCAGCCCAGGCTGGGCTCCCCTATGACCAATGGCTTCAGGGAAAGGAGGAAGGGATCAGAGTTTTGAGTATTGCAATTATGGCAATTCAAACCTACTGGGAAATGGCTCAATTAAGGGTTTTGAAACACAGGACAGATGAACCAAGACCAGGTGCAACTGCTCCTCTAGGAAGAAAAACAAGTGCTTTCTTGACTCGAGCCTGTGTTTGCCCGAACTACAATAAAAACAGCTTTTGTATTTTTAAGGGCTTGTGCTGACAGTCCTGACTGGGCAGGACCTCCTCATTCTTTCTATTTGTGCTCCAGTTGCCCTTTGGAAAAGGCACGTTCATCATCCGCATTCTGGTTCAGAAAGGAGAGCTGGTTGGTCCAAGATGCCCCCAGCACCCTTGCTCTGATAAGGGACAGGAGCTGATCCCGAGGCACCGAGCACCACTGCTGCAGCCCAGGGACACCAGGCAAAGGGTGGGCAGGAGGGGACATGTCAAGGTTACTTTTGGGCACTGCTCTCCATGGGCCCAAGTCCCACCATCAAGCTCCTGCACCAGTTCCCTGCTGGGTGCCAAATTCAGCTCCCCACTGTGGCCACCCTACGGTCCCCACACCGAGCCCCATCACGTCACATCCCTGCCCAGGGGAGCACAGCAAAGCCTGGTGACACCAGCACCGGCAGCTCAGCATCTCCTGCTGACCCACCACGGCACAGCCAACTGCCCAGGGGACTGACTGGGAAGAAATACTTACTGCCTTCGCTTTGGTTGTCCTTGTTCGAGTTGTAGACCTGGAAAACACAAGAAAAAAGTCTTATGAAGGCCCTGGATCCACCGGGAAGGGACTGCCGACACACCTGGGGTCACCGCGGCTGGTGCCTGCTGTCAGGAGCATCTGCCTCAACCTCCCCCAGCAGTGAGGTCCCTCAGCCAGAGAGCACCACAGCTCCTGCTTTCAAAACCTCAGGTTGCCAAAGCTTTGGAGTGGTATTAAAATAACAACTAGGTCAGGTCTGAAAACAAGAGAGTGCAAATGGGAAGGACTAGGTAAAAAACTAGTTCTAAAACTAGAAACTACAGCAGCTTTTTAACAAAACCAAGGTAGGGTTGGACTAGATGACCTTTAAAGTTCCCTTCCAACCCAAACTATTTTAAAACCTATCTCCTCTATGCTCTTCTCAAAGAGGTTATAAACTTTGAGCAAAGCAGACAATTCCCTTTACATCGTACAGGCATTGCAGGACCATCTGGTAGGTGCAACTCGGTCAAGCAGCAGGAAGCCACCCTCACTCACAAGTACTTACAGCCCGAATAAAGGAGTCAGGCAAAGATCAAGAGAGGAAAAGAAATGTCATTAGCTTAGAGAGGACTTGAAATGCATGAAGATGAGGTAACACATACAGTGACAGAGCCACCCTCTGAGCCAACACTGAGGATTCATCCTCCTCCTGTCGTCAAATATTATCATACCACAGAATCATAGAACTCCAGCCTGGTTTGTGTTGGAGGGACCTTAAAGCTCACCCAGTCCCAACCCCTGCCCCGGGCAGGGACACCTTCCACTAGAGCAGGTTGCTCCAAGCCCCTGTGTCCAACCTAGCCTTGATCACTGCCAGGGATGGGGCAGCCACAGCTTCTCTGGGCACCCTGTGCCAGCGCCTCAGCACCCTCACAGGGAAGAGCTTCTGCCTCAGAGCTCATCTCAGTCTCCCCTCTGGCAGGTTAAAGCCATTCCCCTTGGCCTGTCCCTACATCCCTTGTCCAAAGCCCCCCTCCAGCTTCCTTGTCAGCCCTGTTCCTCTGGTCCCTACCACTATCCCTTGGCTACTTTATATAAAAGTGGTGGATATAACAGAAAGAGGAAAAACAATGGCAGAAGGTTTTAATCGCAGCTTGAGGATGATTTAAAAGCACAGCATAATGAGAGCTGCAGCTGTAAGCAGCTCAGCCTTCACACAGGTTGTATTTCTCCAGCTCAACAGAGCAAGATGTTTAAAAATAACCCCTCCTCAGCCCAGGGCAGACACAGACACACACCCCGATGCTGTGTCAGTGCCACAAGCCAGAGCCGAGCGTGGCAGCATCCACCAGAACAGGACAATGGCCCGTGCGGGGTGTTACACACGGCGCCGCGGCGCACACCCTTCCTCCGCTGGGAACAAAGCTGGGAGCCCCCTCCACAGGGAGCCCAGCCCAGGCAGCGGAGCCCATCACATGCTCCCTCTAGAAATAGCAGGCGGGGAGGGAAAGTTTCCAGAGGCGATGTTGATAGCAACACACGAGGCAGCAACAGCGACACATCCGCAGGGAGCAGGAGAGGCTCCGAGCTGCAGGCAGGCGGTTCCCGACCTTCCGCCGCGGGCTCCCAGTGACCGATATTAACACTGAGCACAGGGCTTCAGAAGCCACCCCCGGGTGCGGGGTCTGGTCCCTGCTGTCGGGGTGCCCACCGAGCGCTCCAGCAGAAGCACGAGGCTGGAAGCTGGCAGTATGACATCCCCAAAGGACCGGTGCCAGCGGCAGCCGGGCACACACGCACAGATCTCACCAGTGGGTGCCCCACCACCAGCCCAATACCCCCATCACCCACACCAACCACCCCACTAAAAGGCTGTGTGTCACGCAGCACATCACCGATAGCCACTTAAACAGACACCTGCCTTGGAGGGCACCCAAACACGGGCTATTCCCGTGCTCTCCTGCAGTGCCAGCCTGCGGAGAGCCACCGGAGCTGCAGCTCCACGGACACGCTGCGGGGCACAGAGCAGCTCTCACCCCGCACACGGCTACATTAGACTGTGAAATGAACCTGATCCTCTCTCTCCTGCAGGTTTAGCAGAAGGAGACCTGTCTCTTGATGCCATCCAGGGCAGTAGGATGCTTGTACCACCTCCGCCATCCAGGACAAGGTCAGGGAAGCATGAATCTAACAGCGCAGCTCAAAACTGGGGGCTTGGGCAGAGACTGACCCCTCAACACTAATTCCCATCTTCCTGGAACATTTCCCAAGGAGCACCTTCCCTCTCCCCCTGCCAGGGCACTTAGCTGTGCCATGTAAGACAAAGTAGAAGGTTTTTGTTTGCAAGAGAAAGTCTATCATCCCACATCTGGAAAGTGGGGGATGATTCAGCAGCAAAACCAGCTGTAGTCAGCACGTGAGCTTTCCTCCAGGAAAAAACCTCATGTTTATATTAAGAAAATAAGTGAAAAGAGGGAAGGAAACAACAGCGGGCTGCTCCACCAGCACTGCTGCCCTGGCCAGGAAGTCAGCTTTCCCCAAAGAAGCTTCTCTCTCCAACTTCAGTCCCTCTGCTGAGCTCTCACTGAGGGGACGTGGGACACAGCTTGAGGTAACTCATATTCTAAGGCTTACAGGGGCACAGCCCTCCCTTGGGATGCCACGCGCCAAGCCCTGCGCTGTGCCCTGGCTCACCCAGACAAAGGGTTAACATTACACACAGTAAAAGGGTGACTTGGCTCTTACAGCTTTGCTTTCCCGTCCTTCTCCCAGTGGTCTCCTCCGCTGCCCAGGCCTAAAGGACCAGTCGTGCAGCTCAAGTCATGGTGCACAGCACATCAGCTGCAGGGAAGAATGTGTCTGCCTGCATATTCCCTCTTCAGGTTTGGTTACATGAGACTACAGAGAGGTCATTAATCATCAGAGACTGATCTTTAATAAAAGAGAAAAGGACAGACAAGCAAACACAAGATGCTTATGCCATTAATTGCAAAGTATGCACACGGTGAAAAGGAAATTTCATGCAGAGGTCAACTATGCAACCATAAACCAAGGACATAATGTCATCCTCCATCCATCTTGTTAAGGACGATCCCTTTATCCATTGTCAGTGTGGTAATGCATTAACACCACTCGACAACATCAGGGTTTTAACCAAGCCCCAATTCCATAATATCATTTCCTTTTCCAAGCCCCATCCAACTTTCCTTAAAGGAAGGTCTGCTGCAGGTCTTAACACACAAAGAGGCATTTTAACATTAAGCCTCATGTGCAAGTCAGTCAGTTGATGGACCAACCTCCCTCCCTGTGAAAGGGTGCTGCATTTTAAGGAGGTTCTTACTATTCATTACACCCAAGTCTCCATCAATTACTGACAAAACTAAAGTTACAGACTGTTCAGACAGGAGCATGTTTCCCCTGCACCATCCTCCTTGTAACTCCATCCCACAACTGTGCTGTCAGTTCATCTTCACAGCACTGCAGGTAACTATAAATCAAACCACTTCTGCCAAGGGATGGAGCAGTGGAGGCCCTACGCTTCCCATGCACAACATGCTCTCCAAGCCACCTACTACTGGTGAGCAAGCTCCACAGCCCAATCCAGAACAGCAAACCTCAAGGTATGCAAGAACTCAGCACTGCACGGGGTGGCCCAGGGCTCTGACAGTAGTGCCAGCACGAGCGCAAAGGGACATGAGAGGTTTGCTGAGAACAGGAGGGGACAGGCAGGCAGCTCTGCAGACACATCACCCAGCACAGAGCCAGATGATAAGATACCATAAAATACATGTGTTTTTATACACACACATCATTTTCCTGTTGTTAACATGCTCTGGAGAAAACAGACCTAAACCCAGAAAGCTTCTCATGAAGTAAAAAGCTTCTTTCACTTCTCAGTATTAGTCACTGACAGAAGGGAGGAAATCTGAGAGCAGAAAGCTTTGCTGAGAGGTGAAGGCCCGTGTCCCACATACCATGGGTGGGAACAGGCACAGTGATAAAACTCACAGAACTGGGGCCAGGGAGTAACTGGGAGCCAAATCCCTGCCCTGCAGCACTGCACTTGCTTAAACATCACTCTCTCACTAACTATTCCCATTTGATCATATCTTCAGAGACAAAATATCTTTACTAGGAAGCCTTAGAAGTGATGTGTATAGAGAAGAATATGTATTAACCCAGTACAACATTTGCAGCCCTTGATGCTTTGAATTTAGTTTTCTAAATTCATGCTGTAGATGGTCAAACACACTGAACAAAATCAGATCCTATCTTCTTTTAGTGGAAACAAATGCTACTTTAATTCTGCAGAACCTCTGTGATTTGGAGGCAAAACCGAGGCTTTTACAACCTAGTACTGAAAAATTCTACAGCCACCACTTAGAGCCTGATGCCAGCTTCTGCTTGTGCACAGACCAAGAAGAACCCAACCCATCAGTTTTCCAACCTGCTCCTACATAAATCATACACATGAGCATCCAAAGAGCAAACAGGTATGTGGGTGGTTTGGGATGAAATTGGATTGTGGGAGAAGAAAAGGAAAAGGAAGTAGGTGGGCTTTGGAAAGGGAACTGAAAAAAGATGATGTTGAGTAATTTTGTTTCCTCATTTCAGGGTTCACACTGGCTGCCCATGGTGTCTATTAACCTCCACGATATATTAACTGTGCTCTCACACCCAACTGCATGTGTGCTCTCACACACAACTGCATGTGTACACACATCCTGCATCTGAATATGCTTCGTTTCATACACAAAGCAGGTTTTATTTAAAATTCAGAGAGCCCAACCTAAGCTGTGTCCCTTGGAGGCTGCACAGTGTCCAGCACAAAAATCAGCTCCCGAAATCTTTCAGGTTCCAACATCCTGACCAAGTGGCTAAAAACTAGAGGAAAGCATTGTCTAGATGCTCGGAGGTGGCAGTGATTTCTAGAAAGCCTTAGCCAACAACAGGCACTGACAGAGGGGTCTCCATCTGAGAAGGAACCCACTATTTCAATCGCCTAGTCCATGCCCTGCATGGAAGATTCCACCTTCCACTCCTTTCACTAGT